ACCTTCATTTAGCAAACCACGATTTGGATCTCTGGGTTGTTTGTACCTTAAATAATGAATTTTCTGTTTAATTTTTCAAAGACCTCTTCCAGATGTTTTGGAACAAAAACACTCGGCTTTGAATAATAATTTTTATCTGATGTGTTTCGATGCCTGGATAGAAATCCTAAAATATCACATGCACCTTGTTCCTCGTTAAAAAATCCAGACTCTATGAATATGCAGATGTTTTGTCATTTTTAAAAAAGGTCTCCTGCATGACTGAAGTCCGTTCTCAGTGTGTGTGTTGCTGCACATCCCATCTGTTGTCCACTGGACCCAAGACCAGCTGAGATGCCGTCGCCTCGGCTCGGCTGGTAAAAGCTGCTTGTCCACTAATAGCAGCTCCTCCACGAGCCAAAACGTCCTCAGGCAAGAAACGCCAAATCACTCAATTGCTGCAATTGGTGCGTGAATGAGAAACACGTCGTAAAACGCTTTGTAAGTGCAAACCAATTAACATTTAAAGCTCTCGTTTGGACGTAAATCACTGAAAGTCAGAGTTAAGGTGAAGTCAGAGGAACTTTCAGCAGATTAATATGAAATGGGTTCAAACAAGAGACGCTGTTCATGCATTAGAAAGACAAACACCATGTGTTTGTCCTTTAAAACTTGTTAGTTTCTTTTGTCCTTACTTCTGCATCATTGTGCCCTTCCTGTTGACTTGTGAACATTAACACCAACACAGTCTGTCGCTGCTCAAACATGTGGTTAAAACTTAACAACTGGCAGGAAACTGTCAAACCTTAACAGACGGATGCTCGTTACACGATTATGTGTTATAAGTCAGACAAGTAATTAATCTAATGACATGTAGTCACCTACATCATAGAACTGACAGTTCTCTGGGAGGATGCTATCAAAGAACCTGCTCCAACCGAGCAGCCGAGGCAGAGGCTGGAAGATAAGGGTGTGCCCGGTGGAGGTGGGGTGCAGGGGCTTAATAGCCAGCACAACTACGAAGCTCCTCAGGGAGGTTGGAGTCAGGGGACAGGCTCACCGACAGGCCATCAAAGAGCTGGCCAACACCGCAGAGAGGACGAGCCACTACCTGGGCTGCTAAGGCAAACAGCTAACCGCGGGACACACACCCAGGCTTGATCAACCTGTGGTGGGCCTTGTGATAAAAGGTCGAAACACCCCGTGATGCTGAGGTACACAACTGATGATGTGTGTAGCAGCCATCCGTCCAGAACACCCAACAAAAAGTGGTGCAAACACTCAGGATTGCAGCATCTAGTCCTTCAAACGAACCATATAAAAGCTACGCAGATGCAGCTCTCAGACAAAAGTCAAGACCGATGATGGATGAACCCAAACATCTACATCTACAAAGTCACTTTTTAAACTTTAACATCATTATTCAACTTTATATTCTGAGGTTTGTTCACTTTTACACTATTTTCTCGTCTATTTATATACTGTCGAGGTTCTTGTGAAGGACTCGCTTGATTATTAAGTTTCACAACTCCTTCTGGTGGTCCTTCTGCTTGTCTCCCTCTTGTGTTGGAGCTGCAGCAAGCATTGACTTCATTAACCATTAATCTGC